ACTCGCCCGCGTCGAGCGCCGCGCGCGCGTGCGACGGCGCGCGCGCGTGGGATCGCGCGCGCGTCGGACGGCGCGCGCGTGGGATCGCGCGCGCGTGGGACGGCGCGCGTCGGACGATGGATGCGATGGGGACGACCGCGCGCGACGCGGGCGCGGTGACGACGCGGGCGCGGCGCCGAGGGACGGGCGCGACGTCGGAGGCGTCGCGCGTCGTCCACGCCGTGGACGCGGACGCGCGGACGTACACGGCGGCGGAGGTGGCGACGCACGCGCGGGCGGATGATTGCTGGGTGATCGTGCGCGGCGGCGTGTACGACGTGACGGCGTTCGTGCCGAGACATCCGGGTGGGAACATGATTTACGTCAAAGCGGGGGGGGAGTGCACGGCGCTTTTTGATTCGTATCATCCGGAGAAGGCGCGGGGGGTGCTGGAGAAGTACAGGATCGGTGACTTGACGCGAGAGGAGGGGTCGGCGGCGGATGGGGACATCGTGGAGTACGCGAAGGATGACTTGAAGGACGGTGCGTTCTTTGCCGATTGCAAAGCCGGGGCGGCGAAGTATTTCAAAGAAAATAAGCTCGATCCGCGCGTGCACTGGGAGATGTACGCGAAGACGGCGGCGATTTTGGTGGGGATCGTCGTCGGGCACTATTACTCGTTCTTCGCGCCGGGCGTGAGCTTCGGCGCCGCGCTCGCGTTTGCCGCGTTGCACGGCACGTGTAAGGCCGAGGTAGGGGTTTCCATTCAGCACGACGCCAATCACGGGGCGTACGGGAACAGCCGCACGTGGTTGCACGCGATGCAGTTGACCTTGGACGTCGTCGGCGCGTCGAGCTTCATGTGGAAGCAGCAGCACGTCGCCGGACATCACGCATACACCAACGTCGAGGGGATCGACCCGGACATTCGATGCAGCGAGAAGGATATTCGTCGCGTGAACGAACACCAACCCCACGAGCCCTATCACGTGTTCCAGCACGTGTACTTGGCGTTCATGTACGGTTTGCTATCGCTCAAGTCGTGCTTCGTCGACGATTTCAACGCCTACTTCTCCGGACGCATCGGCTGGGTCAAGGTGATGAAGTTCACCCGCGGCGAGGCGATCGCATTTTGGGGCACCAAGCTCTTGTGGGCCGCGTATTACCTCGCGTTGCCGCTAAAGATGTCGCATCGGCCGCTCGGAGAACTCCTCGCACTCTGGGCCGTCACCGAGTTCGTCACCGGATGGCTGTTGGCGTTCATGTTCCAAGTCGCCCACGTCGTCGGCGAGGTTCACTTCTTCACCCTCGACGCGAAGAACCGCGTGAACTTGGGATGGGGAGAGGCACAGCTCATGTCGAGCGCGGATTTCGCCCACGGATCCAAGTTTTGGACGCACTTCTCCGGAGGCTTAAACTACCAAGTCGTCCACCATCTCTTCCCGGGCGTCTGCCACGTGCACTATCCCGCGCTCGCGCCAATTATTAAGGCGGCAGCTGAGAAGCACGGCCTCCACTACCAGATTTACCCCACGTTTTGGTCCGCCCTGCGCGCGCACTTCCGGCACCTCGCCAACGTCGGCCGCGCCGCGTACGTACCGTCCCTCCAAACCGTCGGATGATCATTGCACGTATTTTATTATTCTCACAGCATTGTGTATCAATCTTTACCGATTAGCGCCGACTCACGCTCTACGCCTCGCTCGCTCGCGCGCTCCGCCTCCAACTGCGTCTTCCGTCCCGCCCGCGACGCCCCGCGATGACCCGCGGCGTCCCGCACAGTCCGTCGCACGTCATGCCTCGAGACCGTACACCCTCTCTGGGCGTGTTCACCCTCGGCGGCATCATCGCCCTCGCGTCTCAGCGCGCTCTGAACGTCCTACGCGGAGCGAAATCGTCCAAGAGAACGAACGAATCATCATCCACGACCAAAAAGGCGTCTCGACACAAATCGATCGTTCGTCGACTCTACCGCGAGGTGTGGAACGCTCACGACGTTCGCACCGCGGATACGGCGGCGAAACAGTACGTGAGCGATGAACACGTCCTGATCGACCCGTCGAACCCGAACCCGGAACCGGGGGTGGAGGCGTACATGCAACACGTCCGCGGAAACCGCGAGGCGCTGCCGGATTACGTGATCGCGATCGATGCGTTGATCGAAGAGGGCGACGTGGTCGTGGCGCAGTTGAGTTTCAGTGCGAGTTTGAATGGAAGACAGGCGCGATGGACCGGGACGTGCGTGATGGAGTTCGAGGACGATTTGATAATCAAATCGTGGGTGAACACGGATGCGATGAGCGCGCTGATTCAATTGGGATTGATGGCGGATTTGGTGCACACGGGGCCGGATAAATCGAGACCGGTGACGCACGCGCTGATGGGAAGAGACGAGCCGCACCCGGAGACCGTGTTGACCGGGAAGGAGTGGTTGCTGTACTTTGAGGAGGTGCACGAGAGTTGGGAGCGTCGATCGATGGATAGCGAGCAGGCGGCGGCGCTCAGGACGGATCACAAGACCGGGCTTGCGATGGCGGTGTAGCGCCGTGCGAGCGAGAAACCGATACGGTGAGAATAAAAAGACATCCCTGTTACTCCTACCGGTAGTGTAATAATTTTACAAACGAATCAAAGTTGTTCAAAGTCATCGCTGACTCTCATCTCAGAGCTCGACGTGGTCGTCCTCCCACATTTTCTTGTGAAGCACATCGTGCTTGAGCGTCGTCGCGAGCCAATTCGCGTGTCGAAGCGTCTCAGCCGATGTTGTTGTGCGCATGATAAACTGTAATACCTCGAAAGGGGTCAATTTCCCGTCGTTCATGTCCGTCATGTATCGAGGCCAATTTTTATTCCCCGCAGCGAACATCGCCACCGTGGGCGTCTGGTCGTCTGAACCGTACGGCGGTGGCACGTCGTTCACCGTTCCATCCACGTACGCGATCTCCAAAAACCCTCGTGCGGTTTCGTTCGCGTGAAACATTTCTCGAACCGTTCCGAGAACGGACGCGGCGTAAAAATGCGCCCACTTGTCCAGCTTTGGAAATCCCACGTACACCACGACGTCGCTCTCTCTTCGCACCGCCTCCTCGTGAAAGGTCCCCGCGGTGACCTTTAACATCCCATCCACCATCTCTCCCCTCTTGGGTCGCTGTTCGCTCCTGTACTTTCTCGAATCACCCTCCGCGACGTCGTCCTCGTCGAACTCCTCGAGCTCGTGCATCGAGAGCGCCTCCTTACACGCGCGCGTCGCCTTGCCGCACATCTCGTAATTCCAATTCCAACCCACCGGATCCCACTTCCGCCACGCGTTTCGTGACTTCTTCTCTCCTCTCACCGTCCGCTCTTCGCGTCCTCCGCCCCTGGCGAGCCATCGATGATACGTCGCCGCCACCGCGTCCTCGCTTCGCTCCATGATCTTCTCGCACGCCTTCCGCACGTCCACGTCTCGCCACGTCGCGCTCAGACGACACACCGGCGCGATCGCCGTCTCGATAGCGTCATCCATCTTTCCGTAATTCGCGTTCGTCTTCGCCTTGCCACGAATGTCGACGAGCGCGCTGATCAAATTGTCATTGAGCGCGCGCGTCAACGCGTGACACGCGCGACACGTCGCGTCTCGTCCGAACGCGTCCAGGCCGTTGGCGAAGACGCGGTTGACGGATGGATTGTCCGTGCGCTGCGTCGTCACGACCTCGAGGGCGTTCGCGCGCGGAAGAGGGAAGAGGGTGAGGATGAGGAGCGGCGCGGAGAGGACGCGCATCGAAGCGCGCGTCGCGTTGTGACGACGGATGGGGGGATTCGCGCGGGATGTTCGCGCTATTCGAGCTATTTCGACTAATAATGCTAGATTGTTCAACGATGCCTCGCGATCAACGCGCGAGAGCGTCTCGGATGAAGTCGTAGATGAGGAGCTGGACGAAGACGACGGATCCGGTGTGCAGCAGACGCGCGCGCCACCCGGTCATCAATCCGATCGCTCCGAGCTCCGAGGCGACGGTGATCGCGCTCGGACGGGCGATTTGTATCGATGTGCCGCCATCGTCCTCCGCGTGCGCACCGCTCGCGCGTCCTTTGTTCAAAACCGAGAGCACCGTGTCGCCCGGTTGACTCGCGAGCGACGCGAGGACGCCCGCGAGCAGCGCCGCCGCCGGCCGCGTCGTCGCCGTCGACGTAAGCCCTGAATCCGCGAGAACCCGCGTGAAGACGTCGTAAGACACCAACTGCACCGCCGTGTACGGCAACATCTTCGCGTAAATCACTGGTAAATTCCCGAGCGTCGTCCCGAAGCCGCCCTCTCGCCCGAATCGTCTCGCCGCCTCGCCGAAACTCAATCCACCGTACCCCGCGTCGCTCACGGCTCGGATTCGCATCTGTTCCATCGGCGTCAACACCGCACTCCCCACGATCTCGGCGCACATCGCACACAGCGCGAGCGTCACCAACGACGCGATCGAGCCGTCTCCGTCGACGCTCGCGAGCCGCTTCGCCGCGTCGAAGCCTCCGTACTTCAACGCGCCCTGTAGCCCGTATCCCACGAACGTCTGCGTCCATCCCGCGGTGAGCGCGACGACGCCGTGTCTTCGGGCGATCTCCCGGGCGACGCCGAGCGCGGAGACGTCCTCGAAGGTCTCCGTCTGGAGCTTGGTCTTGACCACGTCGAGCGGGACGGAGGCGGAGTGACTGACGCACGCGGCGACGCCCCCGGACACGGCCGCGGCGACGACGGGTGGAAGCGCTCGGGTGCGCGCGCGCGCGCGGGTCGTCGATGGGGCCCATCTGGAGGGGCGCGGAGGTCGGGAGACGGGCGCGGCGGACATGGCGCGGCGGCGTGTGCGGGACGCGGCGGCGCGGTGCGTCGACGTCGACGCGCTCGAGGCGTACAGTTGCGTAGATGATTATCAAAAATGCCCACGCGCGCGCGTCACGCGTGGCTGGCTCGCGGCGTCTCACGACGAGCGAACGAGCGGCGTGGTTTCGTCGGCGACGAGCTTGGATCGACGACGTCGCTGCGCAGCGACGGCGACGATGGCGATGAGACCGATCGACGCCGCGAGCGCGGTTACGGTCTTGGAGCGGAGCGCGCCCTGGGTGGAGGTCTCGACGTCGTCGTCGTAACCGAGGCGTCTGGCCCAAGTCGACGGTCCCGGGTATTCTTCGTTGCTCCTGTCGAGGGTGGTCGCGCCACCGAGGCGAGCCTCAGCCGAGGCGGTGATGAGGTTCGACCAAGCGGTCGGGTCCTTCGCGGTCGGGCACGGGTTCTTCCAGTTGGTTCCGGCGCAGTCCGAGCCATCCGTCTTGATGCAGATGGGGGTGCAGCACATCCCCTTGCTGAATGAAACCTCGGCGCCCGGCACGATGGCGGCTTGAGAGATGGACAACGGCACTTGGACGCCAACGAAGTTGCCCAAGCTCCCGCTGTAGAGGTACGTGAGACCACCCTCGCCTTCGATCTTCAGAGGCGTCGGGAGGTTGATCGAAAGACCGGCATCGATGAGAGAGCACTCGCCCGGGACGCTGGACATCTCCTTGTAGCCGGAGAGCGCGAGGCCGGGCTCGGCGTCGGCGTCGAGTGGGTTACCTCCAAACTTGCGACCTGAAGAAGCGCACGCGCCGACGTAGCAGAACTTGTTTCCGACAAGATCGAAGCCGACGCCCAACTCGGTTCCAATCCCAGCCGTGTGAGTCCCGAACGTGACGTCGACATCGAGAGTGAGACCGAGCGTGAACGCCGACTTGGCGCCGCCGATGGCCGGACAGTCTTGTTTAAGCGTCTCAATCGCCGCCTTAAACACGTCGATGGCGACCGAGGCCGAGGTGAACATGGTGTTCCAGATGATATCGCACGCCACGTTGTCCAACTTTTGGTAAAACTTCGCCGGGTCAGCCTTAATTTGCTTCACCATGGACGACGTACCGCCGTTTTGGAACGCGTTATTCTTCAAGTTATTCGCGATACCGCGCATGGTACTCGGCGAGATGTCGCACTTCAAGCCGTTAAAGAACGCGACGATCATCTCCGCCACCGCCGTCGCGTCCGCCGCGAGCGCACTCGCCTCCGATTTAATCGTCGAGACAGCGTCAGAGGTGAACCCCTTCGTCGCATCGTACTTATTCTCCAGCATATCCGTCGAGTCTCCGGTGAATTTCGTCACCTTGTCCCCAAACTTTTTCTTCACGTTGTTATACGTCGCCTGGTACGTGCTCCCGGCCATGGCTTTGCCCGCGTCGTACGCATCCTTCGCCATATCCGCCGTCGTCTTCGTCACCGTCTTCGTCACCGTTTCCGTCGTCTTCGTCACCGTCTTCGTCGTCTTACTCGCCGTCTTCTTCGCGCTCTTTTTGATCTTCTTCCATCCCCCGAGCGCGCTCGCGTCGTGGCGTTGGAATCGCGCCCGCGGCGTCGTCACCGCGCTCGACGCCGCGCGCGCCGGAAGCGCGACCGCCGCGACGGCGAGGACGGCGAGGAGGAGGGCGAGCGTTCGGGACGTTCGCGTCGCGCGCGGCATCGTCGTCGTCGCGCGCGCGTGGGCGCGTGGCGTCGACCACGCGTCGCGCGCGTGGGTGTTGGACGCACCGTGGGTGTTGGGCGCACCGTCTGTGTCAACACTGTTTGCGCACACGAAATGCCTGGAACACCGAGACGCGGGTAGGCTGAAAAAGAGAGCTATCGTGGCAACCGCGGCCGCGGACGGGAGACGACGACGACGGGCCCGGGCGCGTGTCACGGGGTGTCCATCCAGACGAGGACGTCGGCGACGAGGGCGCGCATGCGGGCGCGATTTTCATCCGAGCCGGGGGCGTCTCGCGCCTCGCGCGCCTGCGCGCGCGCGCGGTCGAAGCTCTCGCGAAGTACGCCGAGAGGCGAGGCGTCGGGCCTGATCCCGAACGCGTCGCCGAACGCGGCCAAGATGTCACCGCCCTGCTCGGCGACGTCGTAGATCTCGGTCGGGATTTCGATGCCCGTGTCTCGCCAGAGCGGGAACACGTGGTCTCCGGGACGCGCGCGCACGGTGAGGTCGAGGTCGCTCGCCGCGACGGCGCCCGCGAGCGTCGCCGCGAGCGCGCTCGTCTCGTCTATGGTATCGTCCTGAAACTTAATCAGGAGATTCTTTTTCGTGGAGTAATACTTTTGGATCAGCTTGGCCGACTCGGTCGGCGTCGGCGTGAACTCGGCGCGCCCGTCGGCGATTTCCAAAATCACCGGCTCGAGCGTGTCCAAAATCGGCAACAACTCTCGCACGAGCGGCGGTGCGAACTCCCTGAGTTGCGTGTCCGCATTTCGTTGCAACGATCGAAGTGGCGACTTGTTCGCGGCGTCGAGTATCGGCGACAGACCGCGTAAACCGGGCGCCAAGACGTCGGCGAAGAGCGGAATCGCATCCGTCGCCGGCTTGTTATTGAACGACATCATCACGTTCCCTCGCCGCTTCGTCTCGTATCTCGACGCGATTAAAACCGTGAGCAACGCTCCGAACGAGTGTCCGACGCCGTACACCGGAAGTTCGTCGAACCCGTCCACGTTGCGTCTCAACTCCCGAGCGCATCGTTCGTACCGCTGCCACGCCTCGTCCGCCACTCTCAGGTGATCCAATCCCATCGCGATCGGCGTCGCGATCACGATCGCGTTCCCCTCTCTCACCAACGTCTCGCACATCTCCGAGTACGTCACCTGCGGCGACGCACCGACGAACGCGCCGCCGCAAAAGTGAATCACCCGCGTCGCCTTCGCGTCCCCTTTCGGAGCCAAGACGTACGCCTCATCCACCCTTCGCCACCCCCGCTCCGCGCTCGACCCATCGACCGCACCCGCGGCATCGCTCGCCCATCGCTCGAACGCCCCGAACGCGTCTCGCGCGCCCTCGGACGTCGACGCCGCGCTCGATGTCGACGTCGACGCTTTCGTCCACGTTCGCCCGACGTCCGCCCGACGTCCACCCCCCTCGCGTCTCGACGACCGCGCCCGAGGCGCGCGCGAAACCGCGCCCGTCGCCCGCGCGCGGGCGTCCACGCGCGCGCGCATCGTCGCAGTGCGGTCGCGCGTTCGCTCGACGCCGCGACCGGGGCGGCGGTCGATGGGCGCCACCGGTGACGCCCCTTTGGACGCACGTACAATCGAACGGGGCGTCCACCGGTGACGCCCCTTTGGACGCACGTACAATCGAAAAGGGGCGTCCACCGGTGATGCCCCTTTGGACGCACGTACAATCGAAAGGGGCGTCCACCGGTGATGCCCCTTTCGACGCATTCGAGATCGAAAGGGTCGTCCACCGGTGACGCGCGGGTCGATGCGCGGGTGTCCTGGACCCTGATTTTACATACTGCGCGTCTGTCAAGGGGACGTGGCTGCGTTTTGGCGCCCGACGCCGCGACCGGGGCGCGGGCGACGCGCGCGGTCTCTGTGCGACGCGACGCTCGACCATGGTGCGCGCGACGATCGACGCGCGCGCGCGCGCGAGGGACGGAACGATATCGCCCGCGCGTCGCGACCGCGTCGACGGCGACGACGGGCGCGGCGGTTGGCGCGGGGGGCGACGCGCGGCGCGCCACCCTTGGGGTTTCGCGCGATCGCTTTGATTGGCTGCGCGGGCGTCGCGTCGCGCGCGGGCGTCGCGCGCGGGCGATCGAGGGCGCGATGTGGATGCCGATGCATGCGTTCGAGGGTTTTGACCGGGGTGATCGCGTCTCGCGCGGTCGTGGGCGCGGGAACGCGGACGATGGGATGACTTGAGATGGCTGCGCCAAAGCCCTAGGAGGAGAGAGACTGACCTCGACGAACGCGTTCTCGCTTCGCAGTCCTCGCAAGCCGAAGAAGATGCCCTCATCGGGCAGGCGCGTAAGAAGAACCCGTACAAGAAGTTCTCCTACCGCGGGATCGACTTGGAAGGTCTCCTCGAGATGAAGAACGATAAGCTCGTGACGTTGTTCAACGCGCGCATCCGTCGTCGCTTCAAGCGCAACGGCTTAACCATGAAGCACAAGAACTTGATCAGGAAGCTTCGCAAGGCCAAGGCGGCTGTGGTCGGTATGGAGAAGCCGGAAACTGTGCGCACGCACCTTCGCAACATGCCCATCATCCCGGAGATGGTTGGCTCTGTCGTCGGCGTGTACAACGGCAAGGTGTTCAACACGGTTGAAATCAAGCCGGAGATGATCGGGTCGTACCTCGGTGAGTACGCGATCACGTACCGTCCGGTCTCGCACGGTCGCGCCGGTCTCTCGGGCTCCAAGTTCATCCCGCTCAAGTAAGCGACGAGATCAATCGTGGTCTCGCGCATACAGAGCGCGGCGAAAGGAGCTGGGGTTAGTGAGAAGTGTTAGTGTGGAGGTTGTGTGAAGATTGAGAGACGAATTGACGTTGCCTCGATCGAACGTCGCGTCGACGACGCTAGAACATTAAAACGGATTGTAGTGATCTAAGCGAAGATCCGAACAACGCGCGCGCCCTATAACAGTCCCTCAACGGCGCCCGCGCGCCTCACTCCTCGAGGCGTCCGCCATGGCTGATGACGCGTGGGTCGATCTCGAGCCCGTTCTCGTCGAGCTCTCCCCGAACCTAGCCTCGGGTGAGCTCGTGCACGACGATGCGTTCTCCTTATTCGACGCCATGAGCGCTCTGGACGTCGGAGATCCCAAGATGGACGCCGGCGCGCGCGCGCGCGAGGTCGTCGCCGTCGAGGAAATCATCTCCAGCGGCCGCGCGCCGCTCGAGCTGGAAGCAAACGATCTCGTGCTCGAGGCCGACGCGTTGTTGGCGTGCGAGTGCGCTTTCAGGAGCGGGCACGCGGCGGCGACGACGCTGTGGAGCAACGCTCGCGTCGCCACGCGCGCGAACAGGACGGCGAGCGGGACGGCGAGCGCGCTCGAGAAGTGTCTCTCCTCGCTCGTTTCGAGCACCGTCGCGAGCGCGCGCAGGGTGTTAGAGATCGTGAAGCTCGGTGACGTGTACGAAGAGGAAGATTTCGCGGTCCAAGGGGAGTTGTTGGAGCGCGACGGCGAAGCGGGCGAGACGAGCGGGTCGGACGGCGACGAGAGGCGACGCGCGCTCGATGCTTTGGAGAAAGACACGTCGATCGACGCGACGTGTAAGGCGGCTATTCGAGTAAGGTTGGAGTTTAGGGAGGAACATGGGGAGATGATGGCGTTACTCGCATCGTCCATCGGGAACAAGGGCGACGGCGTGGAGAAGGCGCGAGAGAAGGCAAAGCGCGCAAAGGCGTGCTTGGAGAAGATGCGAGAGCGCTACGCCAACGTCGAGGACGCCGACGCGCTGGATTGGGATCCGAGCGGTGGTAGTTTTTCAGATGGCATGAGTACGCACCTCCTCGGTGGGGCACCGCCGAGGCAGGTTACGTTTCTGAGCAGACGGCGAGCGATAGATTACTTTGACAAGGAAATCGACGACGTCTTGGTCGCCGCAGACGTGTTCAAATTTCGCGCTCGCGGGAGCGTTCCCACGATTGAAGCCATTCTCGATTCGTTGGAGACATTACAGGACGTGCGACCTGGGGCGGTCGCGCTCGGGCTCGTCGCCGCAGAACTCTTGCACGATCAGAAGCTGTGCGGCGTTGAAGTGGGCAAGGTTGGCCTCCAGTCGGCTTGGACGCACATATGCGTCGAGAACGCGTCACTAGAGAATTCATTCGCGCACTCAAAAGAGAATTTGGATAAGTTTAAGGACGAGTGCGTGCAGCCGCTGACGATTTTGGTTCGCTCGTTTTGCGTCAACCGTGCACGTTTCCGTCGGTGTCTCAGGAGATCGCTCGGCGAACTTAGTCACTTACAAGCCGCCGCCGACGCCTTGGACGCCGCTGAGGACGTGGCTCTGGCGCAACTATCTGACAGTTTGAACGTGCAGATCTTACAATCTCTGAAATCGCCCTTTCTCGCGTGGACGGAGCACCTCACCGCGACGGTGCAACTCAGGCACATCGAGCTTGGATTTTCTCTGAACCTGTACCTCCCGCACGAGTATCCGATGATTTACTTCTACATGCAGAACTTGCAAATCTTGCAAACGAATGAGATGAAGCGACGTCTTCCTCTGATCATGCGGAACGCGGGACCGGAGAAGAACGTGATGGACTCCGATGACTTCTCTCTCGTCCAGTTCAACATGCTCAAGCTCTTGATGTACATCGCGTTGCAGTACACCTTCATGGCGCTTATCGAGCGCGGAAAGGTGCGAAAATGCGAGACTCCGTTCAGCGGCGAAGATCTGCGCTACTGGCAGCGCTTCAGCACGTTTCAGACCGTCGATGTGCCGCAGGCAAGACTGTACGAGGACTACGTCGCCATCGTCGCCAGCAACGTGGCGAGCCGCAAGGCGAACATGAAGAAACAGGGACATCCCGAGGCGGACTCCGATATCGCCGCGTGCGTCGAGACTGCGTCACTGATGTACGTCCAAGCTAGAGAGGCGGCAAAGACGCTCTTGAAGTCAACGGCGTTGCCGCCCACGCGTCTTCGCGTCGTCCGCACCGCCGAGCGCATCGCCGCCAGAAACGCCGTAAGCCTCAAAGTCTTGCTCACGACGGACATGGTGTGCGAGATTGACGACAGCGACGAGTTCTTCGTCGCCGTTACCGCTCGCAAACCAACGGAATAGCCGGTTTCATTAATATCCGTAACCGCCGACCACGTACCCGGCGGCGCCGCACACGCCGACGCTCCAACCGTCCATCCGCGCCTCGCGCCCGCGCTCGCGCGCGTGCACGCGTCATCGCCCGCCACGCGTCTCTTCGCGACGCCTCGATGCGCGAGAGAGACGGGAAGAGACGTCGCGCGAGAGCTTCCAAATTCGCCCGCGCGCTGCGCGCCTGGTACGTCGCCCTTCACGCTCGCGCCCGCGTCTTCGCCTCGCCCCGAAGACGCACGTCGCTGTTACCAAAGGTCGAGGACGTCGCGGAAGCGCCGCGCGCGTCGACGGAGGCGAGCGACTCGGACGTGGAGATTGTCTGCGAGACGACGGCTTCGACGGCTTCGACGACGCTCGGGAGACACTTGCGCGCGCTCGGTCTGCGTCGAAGAGGGGTCGTCCCGGATGGGAACTGTTGTTTTCGATCGATCGAGGCGGGGGCGCGAACGCTCGAGGTCGGGCGGTGGGGGATCGCCGGGACGTCGTGGGCGGACGTCCGCGCCGCGTGTTGCGACGGGTTAGCCGAGGCGATGCGACGGACGCGACCGGGGAGCGATGAGCGTCGAGCGCTGTTTGAATTGGTGTTGCACGGGAATGAGGGACGCGGGTACTTGCGTCGCGGACGGTTGCGACGAGCGAGCGACGAGGAGCGGTTCGCAAAGTATCTGAAGACGATGCGGGCGAACGCGGCGACGTACGCGAACACCAGTCGTTGGTCGAGATACTGGGGGAGCGACGCCGAGGTCACGGTCATTTCACAACTCGCCAAGACGGCGATCGTGTGCGCGGAGACCTCGAGCGACGCTCGAGGTGCGAACGAGCCGGCGTCGTTTTGTGTCGCCGTCCCGGATTTGGAAAACACCTCCATCACCGCTGCGAGATACTACGCCTCCGGCGCACTCGATGCTAGCGAAGGTACTGTCACCTGGATGTCGTCCCGACGAGACGTCTCGTACGTTCTTCGCGCCGTGGACGCCGATGACGATCGATTCCGCGCGCAGATGCGTCGTCACCCGTCCGCGGGCATCGCTCGCGTCCCCGCGATAGCCATCCGACACCATCCCGGCCACTTCGAGGCGCTCGTGTGCGACGATAACAAATGCCTCGTCGTCGACATCGTTCGCAGAAGGCGCGAGCGCTCGAGACGGTAGGTCTTCCGTGACGTTAGACGCGTATTAGACTCGCACGCGAAATAGAATTCATTTCCACGGTTGACATTCGACCCACATTCGTCGCCGCATCGACGCCATCATGCCATCCGATCCCCCAGGAACGTCGAGCGATGACGTTGTATCGAACGCTCGGTGTCTGCGCGACCTCTTACCGCTTCTATCGCTCGAAAACGCGCACGAACGCGCCGCCGCCAGTGAAAAACTCCTCGAGCTCGAGTTCGGTGACGACGCGCGTGGCGTCCCGTGGGCGCTCGCTCTGTGCGCGTCTGGGTGCGTTACGCCTTTATTACGATCGATCCAACGCGTGAAGCGAGACGTCGAGACGTTGGCGCCGATCGAGGGGGATGTGGAGTGCGTCGCGGGCGACGCGGCGCTCTTGGTATTGAGCGAGCTCGCGAATGTCGCGGCGGGACTACTCGAGTCGGAAGGGTATCAGCTCGAGGCGTGCGAGAGCACTGGAAAAGCTTTATTCGTCGATGTCCAGAGCGGGATGGCGAGCGAGGTCGCTCCGGGGCTGAGATGCTCGAAAGGGATGGATCGAGAAGACGCGTCGGCGCTCAGATTGTTGATCGAGACGTTAACGCTGGTGACGCCGATCGGGGTCGATGCGCGAACAGGTAAGCTGGCGTGGAGCGTGGAGATCATCGATCACGTGCCGATGCGGGACGATGGGGCGAGACCGGAGGTGAGCGTGATCGATATGGCGGTGGAGGGTGGGAGCGTGGGTGAGCTCACGCGGGCGCTCGTCATCGGGCCCTGGCGGGGGAGCGACGGGGACGTGGACGCGGAGAAGGACCCGAATGAACCTCTTGGGTTGGCGTTAGATTCATGGAGGGACGCGACGTACGTTGCCGGCGCTCTCTCGGGCGCGGGGACGGTTTTGAGACGGGTGTTGGTGTGCGGATGCGCAGGCGGCGCTGTGCCGACGTTTTTAACCAGGTACTGCCCTGAGGCGTCCGTCGTCGTGGACGTCGTCGAATCGGACGAGGTTTTGGTCGAGCTGTCGGAGACACACTTCGGTTTGGCGTGCGCGAGGATGCGCGCGGACGAGAACGGGTCGTCGGGGCGGTGCCACAGCGACGTGCGCGTGTGGTGTGAAGATTTCGTGCAATGGGGACGCCGGAGCGCAGCGGCGGCAATCAGGTACGACGCCATCCTCGGCCGCTTCCCCTCGGACGCTCCTGTGAAGGATATTTGGGACATTATTTGCGCGCTTCTCGCGGACGATGGCGTCGCCGCGTTGTCTTCCTGCGAGGGAGATGCCGCGGAGGCGATGACGACGGAAGACGAGTCGCGCGTTCGATTACTGCGCGACCCGGAAAATATGACGTTTGAGGACGTCGGGGACAGACCAGAAAAGCGCGCAAGGGCGAGCGTGGCGTCGGATGTTCGCGCACAAGATGTGGTTTGCTATTTTGCATCGTCACCAGGCGATGACGTGTTCGATCCGGCGACTTGGATGGAATGCGCGACAAAGAAACTCGGCGAAGCCGTCGAGCGGTTTCCTTACCGAGTCGCCGGGTGCGACATTCACGGATGCGTCACCGTGCTCGATTACGCTGAGCGTGACGCAAACAATGAGGCAAACGGGATTGGGCGTATAGATGCCTCGAACGCGGCTTGGGACGCGTTCGATGACGGTCCGATGGCGCACTCTAACGCGGAGAACGTCTTTGATGCTGAGTACTGGAACGCCATTCTGAGCGCGCATGGATGTTCGATCTCTAACGGTTCCGACTCACATTTCGACGAGGTTGATACAAGCGCAACGGTGAGGCACATCGACACGCTTCACGACGAGGGATACGTTTGGGGAGACGTCATCATCCCATCCGAGCAGACCACAGCGCTTCGGCGGGGGATCGAGGCTCTCGTGGACGCCAAGTGGCCTCCGGCCTGCGTCTTCGTGTCCGACGTCGCTTGGCAGGTCATCGACGCTTTGTTCGCCCACGCAGAGGCTTTACTCGGTGGTGAGTGCGTGCTCGAGCCCTCGATGGCTGCGTTCAAACTGGAGAAGGACGCGTCCGGGAAGCGGTACATTGGGAACAATTTCGGCGTCCCGCATCGCGACTACTCTCGCGACGACGCCGTCGACGAAGATGGCCGCGCGCAAGTCCTCAGTCTGTGGCTTCCGCTCAATCGCGTGACGGAAACCAGCGGCTGCATGTTCGTCGTCTCTAAGAAGGACGACGCCGACGGCGGCATGAGCGACGCTGCGAAGACGGCGCCAGAGGTTCCTCGCGGCGCCGCCCGTGCGCTCGCCCCGGTGGACCCCGGATCACTCCTCGCCTGGGCCGGAAACATCATTCACTGGGGAAGTGCGTGTGCGTTAGACTCTCCAGACGCCCCACGAATGAGCGTTGCCTTCGTTTTCCGCCGAAGAGGCGACGCCGAGCGTCGAGCCGACGCGCGCTGTCCGCCGCTCACCCGAGCCGACGCGCGATCCGCCAGTCTCGAGCGCCGCCTCGCCGTCATCCGCCACGCCCTCGGCGTGTTCGAACACTGGTACGGTGACGCCGCCGACGTCAGAGCGAAACTTTCGGCGTGATTCTCTCCATCGACCGTGTTATGGACATCATCGATTCGTCGTCGCGTCAACCGCCCGCCCGCCGCGTCCCCAATACAGTTGCAGCACACGCAACGCGTCGTCACTTTGTCGATCGTCACGACTCGGCGCGCGAGTCTTCCCGCGCGAGACCTCGCGCGAATGTTTATCAACATCAGACGCGCCGTTCGCGCGCGCGTGCGCGCCCACGCGTGCCCGGTCGCGTCCGCGCGACACGTTTTCGTCCGCGCTTCATCGTTGCTCACGACTGAAGAACAATCGAAAACGACGCACGATGAAGACGAAGAGCGCTCGCGCGCGTCCTCCATGGTCGAACCCACCACGGGAATGCATCGTCGAGCGACAGATGACGTGGTGGTGATGCACCCGGACACGTCGAGAGGAATAGAGGTCTTACACAACCCGGTGTACAACAAGGGAACGAGCTTCACGGCGAGCGAGCGGGAGAGACTCGGCGTACGTGGACTCGTTCCACCGCGGTTTTTCCCGATCGGGCAGCAAGCAACGAAAATATGGGCGCAGAATCAAAGTTTGGAGAGGCCGCTCGATAAGTGGCAGCATCTGCAGGATTTAAAGGATCGTAACGAGACGCTGTTTTATCGCCTGGTGCACGATCACATCGAGGAGTTGGCGCCCATCATTTATACGCCGACGGTCGGGGACGCGTGCTTGAATTTCTCGAAGTTGTTGAGACGGGCGCGCGGGATGTACTTTTCGGTGGACGATAGGGGAGACATCAACTCGATGATGTTTAATTGGAAGCGCTCGGTGAGCGTCATCGTCGTCACGGATGGAAGTCGGATTTTGGGCCTGGGGGATCTCGGGACGAACGGGATGGGGATCTCGCAGGGTAAGGTGGACCTATACGTCGCGGGCGGCGGTTTTGATCCTCAGCATGTCTTACCCGTCGTTCTAGACGTCGGTACGAACAACGAAGACCTGTTGAACGATCCATATTACTTGGGTGTGCCGCGAAAGCGCCTCGAAGGAGAGGAATACTATGCGTTCATCGAGGAATTCATTCGCGGCGTTCGTAATCGTTGGCCCAACGCGCTGATTCAGTTCGAAGATTTTCAGACTAAGCACGCGAACAAAATTTTGCAGCGATACCGCAACGACGTGCTCTGCTTCAACGACGACATTCAGGGCACCGCCGCTGTCGTCTTGGCGGGTCTGTACGGGGCGATGAAGTGCTTGGGCGGACACAGGAAGGATATCGTGAAGCAAACGTTCGTGATGTGTGGCGCTGGGAGCGCTGGGAGCGGAATTGCGTCGTTCATTCACCAGGCGCTTGTGGCCAATGGGCTGTCTGAGGATGAGGCGTACCAGCGATTCTACATCATCGATAAGGATGGCTTGATCACGCACGATCGGAACCTCGATGCGCCCGGCATGGAGCCGATTAGGCCTTTCGCTCGCGCCCGAAGCGATTTACCCGATGGGACCAGACTTTTGGATGTCATCGAAAAGGCGAGACCGACGACACTCATGGGGGTCTCCACGGTGAGCGGGTTGTTCACGAGAGAGGTGCTGCAGAAGATGGGCGAGATAAATGAGAGGCCGATCATCATGCCCCTATCCAATCCCACGTCGCGAGCGGAGTGCACAGCGCAACAAGCGGCGGAAGCGACCGGAGGGAGGGCGATCTTTTCAGCTGGATCGCCCTTTGAAGATGTCGAGATGCCGAATGGACACGTGATGAAGGCGAATCAAGGGAACAACTTTTACGTCTTCCCCGGCGTCGGTCTCGGCGCGCTCCTCTCCAAATCATCGGTAATTTCGGACGGCATGCTTCAAGCTGCTGCGATGGCCGTCCCGGCCATGCTTACGAGGGAGCAGCACGAGTCGGGAACGATATTTCCGCGCATAAACCGAATCAGAGATATCTCTGCGTACGTCGCCATCAAGGTCATCGAAGCCGCCGCTCGCGAGGGTCGCGTCCCGGAAGACATCAGAAAGATTGTCTCCAAGGGCGAGGAGGCGCTTCGCGAATATGTTTATAGCACAATGTGGATTCCGAATTATCGACCGACCGTGTTCAGTTGCTCGAGCCGCAAGTAGAGTCGCGCATTCAGAGGGACGCATTGTTCTAATATTCTGTGATTAAATGATTCTTTTGTCATAATCAAAATTCGTTTCGATTCACGCGGCCTTAACGGCGGCATCAATGCGACGCGCTGTCTCAGAGATCGTGTCCCAATCACCCGCCTTGATGGCGTTTTGGTCGAACGCCGGAGCGACGAAGCCGAGAGAGCTGGCACCCGCACGCAAGAAATCCGCCGCGGTGTCGATTTCAACGCCAGACGTCGGGTTGATGCGGAGCATCGGCAGCGCGTTCGCTACAGCACGGACCCAGTTCGGACCACCGGCAACGCCCGGGAAGAGCTTTTGAACCGGAGCACCGAGCGTGTACGCTCTGTAAAGCTCACTCGGCGTTTGGCAACCCGGGATGCAAACAATCTTGTTTGCTGCGCACCATTCGACAACTTCCGGAACCAAAATCGGAGCAACAATGAACTTGGAACCCGCGTCCAACGCCATCTTGGCATCATCAATGTTCAAGATGGTACCGCAGCCGGTCAAGACGTCGGTGCGATCGGCAAAGCGAGAGACAGCGTCGAGGCAGCCCGGCGTGGTGAGGGTGAACTCGGCGAGCTTGAAACCGCCTCGGACGGCGGCATCCATGGCGTTGTACGCCGCACCTTCGACGCTGGTGCGGAGAACAGCGCACGCCTTGTGTTTCGCGAACTCCTCGAGGACGCGATTGTACTCGGCGTCGGTACGCATGTACGATTTGTGGCGAACTTGTTGCGTGCTCATGCCGCGACGGGAGCCGAGCGTGTTGCGGCTCTTAGGGATGCCACCGATGCCGGCGCGCGCGCCCGGGTTGGCCGCGGTGTGCGCAAACTTGCTCGAGTCGTAGCCCTTGCTCGCGAGGAGCTTGCAGAGCGGAGAATCCTTTTTGATCTTTCCGGAGACAAACGGATAAAACTTACCCGGCGGTCCTGGGTTCGCGGTCAACTCATCCTTCACGATGCCCTCAACAATCTCGCGAGAGTGCGCGATGTCGTACACCTCTTGTGCGTGAGACGCCGGGACGATAACCACACCGTCTTGGTCGCCGATCACCGCGTCACCCGGTCTGACGACGATGCCGCCGCAGACAATGACGCCATTCGCCTCCCAAGGCTGGTGCACGTGCGGCCCTTGACGCGGCGTCGTCGAGATCGAGAACACCGGGAAGCCGTACTCGCGCAAAACCGCGGTATCTCTCACGCTCCCGTCCGTCACCAATCCAGCGCATCCTAATTGCTTCAATCGCAAAAACTTGATGTCGCCGCCGACGGATTCCCACGGTCCGACGGATTCCATCACGACGCACTCGTTCGGACCCGTCTGCTCGAACGCTTCGTACTCGGGCGATTCCGTCCCCGCCGGCTTACTCGCCGCAATGTCCGGCCTCTGCGGCACGAATCGCAGCGTCACCGCTCTACCGACCAACTTTTTCTGCCCCTCCGTGAGCGGTCGCGCGCCCATCACGTGGCTCGTCGGCCAGCCGAGCACCCACAACCCATCGATCAGGGCTTGCGTGCTCAGATCTCCGAGCTTGTGCAAGAGATCATCGCTGATCGTCTTCTCGTGTCGCGCCGGTCCGGTGGCGAGCGCGCGGATCGCCATCTGCGGCGCGCTCAGCGCGGTGCGCGTCTCGCTCGCCGTCTTCGGCATCCATCCCGCGTGTGTCGTCGTCACCGCGCGCGCGGCGCGCAGCGCGGTGCGCGCCGTGCGTCTCAACGCGCTCGACATCGTGCGTCTCGGCGCGTGCGTGCACGGGCGACGCGCGGGTGTGTGGAGGGCGCGATCGCGCGATGGCGGCGAGCGCGGTCGATCGAGGGTTTGTTGGATAGGGCGTATTTCACGGGTCGTGACTCGTGGGTGAGTCCCTCGTGCGTGCGGGATCTCGCACACGCGGGTCGTTTTCGCGTGCGAGGGGGTAATTTCATGAGTCATGACTCGAGAATTGAGCGCGTGACGGGTGAATATACTCGCGTCGCCGAGACGCGCCGAGACGCGAGCGGAGAAATGTTTTACACGTGACGAGATCGATCGAACCGGTGCTCATATCGCATCCGTGGAGACGTCCGCGGCGGCGCCGCCGTCTCTGAGGTCTCTGGTCTCGTCGCTCGATTCCGCGTACTTCGCCTTGGCCACGGCGAAGACGCCGAGCATGGTGACGCACACGCCGATCAGTTGATCCCATTGAAGACGCTCGTCGAGGAAAATCCTGGCGAGAATGATCGCGAAGACGACTTGAATGCCCGAGTACACGGTGGGGAGGACGCCCTTGACGCGCGCGATGGCCCACGAGTTCAACGAATGCGCGACGACGCTCGACGCCAATCCGGCGAACGCCACCGAGCCCCACGCGCTGGCCGGTACCTCGCTCGCGCGAAGATTCTGAAACGCCGGAATCGCGATCAAAATAATACCAAACTCGGCGAACGTCGTGGCTAGGAACAAGAACAACAACGGGTACGGGTACGTCTTCGTCGCCAAACCCAAGAGCACCGCGTACATCGAGTACGAACCGACCTGCGACAACAGCATGAACACCTCGCCCACCGTGATCCCACCCGCGGTGAAAATCTCGTACGCCCTCAACGCTAAAACCGTACCCACGAAAACCACCACCACCCCCGCCGCTTTCAATCGCGTCATTCGTTCGAGCGGTTTCTTCGACCCCAAGCCGTCTTGCCCGACGCACGCGCTCGCGACAGCCACGATGACCGGAATCAACGGCTGCACGCACGCCACCAACGTCGCCCCCGATTTCGCGTTACACACGAACACCATGAGATACGCCCCACCGATCGAGACCCCCATCGCCGGGACCCATCGCGCCAAGTCTCGCCACGGCGCCCGTCCGCCCTCCCGTCTCGCCTGCGCCGCGAGAAACGGCAACGCCACCCCCAATCGCATCGCGCAGAACGCCGTGGGCTCGATGTGCCGCAATCCCGCGTTGGCGAAGACGTGCATGAGGCCCCAGATCAACTGCGCGGACGTCAACGCGGCGTGATTCGCCAGCGTCGCGCGGTCGTGCGCGGACATGTCTCGAACGCCCCACGACCTCGACGCGCTCGTCGACGGCGCGTCACCGCCATCGCGGCCGCGGAGACGATCGAGGACGCCGTGGGCGCCGTCGCGCGCGCGCGCGTCCATCGCTCGCGCCTCGGTGCGCGGTCGCGTCGTCGCGCCGTCGCGTCGATGGCGGCACGACATAAACACCCACCGGACATACGACACAGGTATACATCACCATACAGTACGAGATCTCTCCTCGTTCCGGGACACGTCACGCCGACGAGCAACACATAAATCACATCATCGGACAATCGATGCGTATACGGTGCATATAATACTTTGTATAAAAATACGATCGTTGATACCCCGCATCACCCGCGCCGGTGACGCGCCATCGCGCGACGCCTTCGCCCATGGCGGACGCGGACGCGATCGAGTGCGCGATATGCCTCACGACACCCGCCCCCGAGGACGTCGCCCTCGCCCCGGCGTGTCTCCACGTCTTTTGCGCGTCCTGTCTCGTGCGCTGGGCGAGTTTCACCGCCCCGGGGGCGTCGACGAAGTGCCCGTGCTGCGCGCGCGCGTTGCGCACGGTGTTGCTCCGTCGAGGCTTGGACGGGACGGTCGATGCCGGAGGGTACCTGCGGGAGGAGTCGCTGTGTTTGCTCGCGCGGGCGCGGTGGACGGAGGACGGGACGTGGAGCGGCGACGAGCGGGACGGGCGCGGCGAGAGCGACGACGATGCGTACGAAGACGCGGCGGAGGCGATATTGGATCGAAGCGCGCGACGGCGGGTTGTTTTGGGGAATCGACGGTTCGGTCGGGGGGGGTTCGTGGCGAACGGGGGTGGACGGACGTACGCGACGCCGGCGGCGAGGGGGAAGACGTCGCGAGGAAAAACGCGCGTCGACGTCGAGAAGAAGGAGAGGGATGGGACGAGTCGAGGGGGGTCGGGGAGCTCGTCGCCATCGATGGAATCACCGGGATCGAAGGTTGAGGACGAAGAATCGACGCCGCGTCGACGGGGGAAGAAGAGCGCGAAACGCGCCGAGTCGATGGCGAAAAAGGCGGAAAAGGAGAAGGAACGCGCCGCGTCGAGGCTTCGTAAACGCGAAGAAGAAGCGATGGCGGCGGCGGCGAGGCGCGCGGCGGTCGCCGCGGCGAAAGAGCTCGAGAGTTTGGCGCTCGGAGGGACGGCTTGAGCTCGTGTATCGATATTGAAAGTTCATGAAATGTTGTATTATCAACGCAGTTTAACGTGTAAACCATCGACAAGGCGAATATTTCCTCACTTCATGCTCGAGAGCACGGCCTCGCGCATGAGCGAGATGTCCGCGGTCTCACCGGTGAAGAGCTCAAACTGTCTCGCCGCTTGACCAACGAACATGTCGAGCCCGCTCGCGATTTCGCAACCCGCCTCCTTGGCTTCGCGAAGAAGCCTGGTGTCCAGCGGCGTGTACACGGCGTCGAACACGACGGAGAAGTCACCGAGAACGCTCGCGGGCGCGGGAGATTCCGCGATGTACGGTTGCATCCCCACGGAGGTGGTGTTTGCGAGGACGTCGCCCGACGCTCGTCCCTCCGCCAAGTCCTCGAGCGACACCGCGCGTCCGCCGCACGCGTCCGCGAGTGCCTGCGCGCGCTCGACGCTTCGATTCGCGATGATGACGTTCGCGCCCTTGAACTTGGCGCCGAACGCCAGCGCCTTACCCGCGCCGCCGGCACCGATGACGACGACAGTTTTTCCCTCGAGCGCCTTGGCCGCCGGCGTCCCAGTTTTTTTCTCCATCGCGACCTCGATCGCGTCGATCGCCGCGGCGTAATCGGTGTTGTAACCCTTCAAGCTTCCATCTGGCTGACGAACGAGCGTGTTCACGGCGCCTATTTGCTTCGCCACCGGGTCGACCTCGGCGCACGCCTCGAGCGCGGCTTCTTTGTGCGGAATCGTGACGCTGAACCCCACGAAATCTTCAGATCCAAAGAGCGGCGACGCGAGAAACTGCTTGATGTCCTTGACCAAAAGCGGGACGTAGCACGCATCGACGTTCGCGGCGGCGAGGCACGGGTTGTGCAACGCCGGCGATTTGCTGTGTCCAATCGGGTTTCCGATCACGCCCATCACCTTTGTCGACGACGTCTGCGTCGGTACGCGGTACATGTCTCTCAGTTCACCGAGCAAGGGCTGTCCCGGCGCGCTCTCGGCCCCTCGCCGAATCGCGCCAAAGGTCAAGTAACTCCCGAATTTCGCCGCGAGCAAGCGCGAGACCTGTCCGTGCTCGCTCATCCCCAGTGCGATCGTCTCCTTCTCCCCGCCGCGCTCGCGAAGCAAACGCTCCAGTCGCTCCACGTCCTCAATCTCCTTGCACACGCACGCTATCTTGACGATGTCCGCCCCCGCCGCGACGCACGCCGCGTGAATCTTCGCCAACTCAACGTCGCTCGGCGTCTCCTCGTAGTTGTGCGAGCTCAGAATAATCTTCGTCTTCCCGTCCCCGCCGCTCTTGAACGAATCCGGCGCTCGAGCGAAGAACCGCTCCGCCGCCAACAATTCGCAATCCACGTACGCCGCCCCGAGCTCGTACGCCTCCCACAACGAATCTAACCGCTCATCTTCGTCCCCATCGTTCCTTCCACCCTCCCATATCGGTCGATTCGTCACGATGGCGGGTCTCTCGCACTTTCGCAACAACGCCTCCGTCGCCTCGCGTCCGCGTCGCTCCAAGAAATCCATCCGCAGCTCCACGACGTCCGCGCCCAACTCGATCGCCTCCTCGACGTCGAGCAAAGCGATCGGGACGCTCGGCGCCACGACGGAGGTCGTGAGCTTACACGCGCCCGCCGCGACGCCGCGCGCGCGTCCTCGGATCGTTCGC